TGCTCGGTAACCCGCAGTTACGGTGGTGGGGAAAGCACCGAGCAGCGCGCAGTGCTGCGGGGCGGCCTCGGTCCTGAGCCCCCGCTCATCCTGCGGTGTAATTACAGCCCCCCCCCCCCCCGATCATCCCCATTCCCAGATCCCACCTGGAAACGTTCATTAACGTCTTGACCTTTGTTAGTGACTGTTAATTAACCCGCAGCTCCGTTGTCTGCGCTTTCCCAGTACGCCCCAGTCCACTGGGGATTTCGGGAGCTCGCGCGTCTCCGGGACTTCAGGTAAATCGTTGTGCAGCAAAGGATGACCCCGCATGCATTTCTGGATCCCAAAATGCTGGAAGACAACTTCTTCGCGTCTCGGTAGCGAACAGGCAGCTGCCGGCTCGGCGGTGCTGTCAGCAGGCAGCGCAGACCTTGCTGCTCGCCCTTGGCGTGCGTCGGGTCTGGCTTCAGCCCGTCCGCTAAGTTTGTGTCATTCGTGCTAGCGCGGATGGGACGGCGGCACGTGCGTGGTCCTCTCGTGTCGCAGTCGCTCCTCTTCCCTCGAAGGCATCGAGGCACCCCGGGTCGCTGCGGCGGGCCCCAAGCTGGGCGAAGGCGCGGGTTGGGGTGCTGCGGGTTTGGGCTGGTCCTCCAGCAGTCCCAGCGCGGAGGAGCGAAGGTGAAACTCGGGAGGTTTCAGGAGGGAGCTGCAGGGCTGTTCTTAAACTTGCCCTTACCGATGCTCTAGCGTACATGAAGCAAATTGCTTTAGAAATGGAGATCTGGGCGTTTAATGGCGGAGAAAGAGGCGCCTGTGCTCTGCTGGGAGCCTTAAGGGGATCTCGGGGGGGAAACAGCCCCGTTCTAGGGCGTAACATCTGCTGCAGCATCCCCTTATCGCGGCGCTCTCGCAGTCCTTGCTCTGCGCCCCGGCCGCCGGGCGGCTGCGGGGCGCACGTGGCTGTAAGGCCCCGGTGCCCTGGTCCGACCGGGCGCCCTGCGCGGGCGAGGGGAGCCCGCAGCCCTCAGCCTCGGCAGGGAGGGCCCCGGCTCCCCTGGCCCCGCAGCAGGCGGGTGCTCCGCCGGGGCCCACCCGTCCCGGCTGTTATCTCCGCTCTGCAATTCTGCCGGGCGCCCATCTCCTCCTTCCCCGGAGAGGGCAGTTTCTGGAGCGGTAGCCTCTATCTGTCCCCTACAGAGCCAGGTGCCTCTGGTCCCACCCTGTCCCCCGCTCCCCTTCCTCCTGTGGGATTAACTGTTTAAAGCATTTTTTGGATTCTCGAGGTGGGTTTTGTTCAGTGAGCCCTTTGTTCTCGATCGCTGCCTGCCTGGAGCGGCTGCCAACTCCAGTTCACCCGAGGGCTGTCCCCTTCCCTGCCAGTAAGGCCTGGAGCGGCAGCTTTCCAGGGCTAAAAATTACTTGCCAAGTGTTGCCATGAGACTGCCGGTGTGCCCGTCGGGTGGTCTGCATCCCCTGCGAGCACCATCCGATTCTGCTATACAGTGTTTTTATACGCGTAAGCCTGTAAGTAACGGAGAGGTGCCTTTTCCCCCAGCCCCAGGCAGGGGTGATTGCTCGGGGTACGAGAGACTCGGTCCAAGCCCTGGAGCGAACGCGATGCCCCTACATTACACGTGCCCTATGCACTGGGGTGGCCTGATACAGACTGAGAATTTGGCTGAGCATTAGAATATCTGCAGGGTCTTGAGCATATAAAATAGGTGAACACCTCAAATCAAAGGTTTTCCAGAAGAATGGAGCCACCTCCTGCCCGGCTCCATTGCTGGCTGCTGTCACGGGTGCTGGTGTAAAGCTTTCTCCCCTGGACTGCGTCCCGGGAAGCGAAGTGAGCCGTGCCTGCTCTCTGGAGAGAGCCGGGGGCCGTGAGGTTTATTGCTGGGGAATCCCCCCTGGGATGGGCCTGGGGACGGCGGGGCTGCTCCCCTGAGGCAGGTCCCATCCTCGCGTCCGCGCTGTCTCCCGTGGGAAGCCCTGCCCTGCCCAGGGGTGCCAGCAGAGGAATCCCGCTTGCTCTTTCGGAAGAGGAGCCCGTCTCCAGCTCTCCTCCCGCCTGCCTCCCTCCGGTTTCAGCTCTCAAAACAGAAGCTGTGGTCTCCAGCAGGGACTTTGCTGTTTGTTTCCCAGGGCACCCCCGGCTCCTCTGCGCGGGGCGTTTGTGTGCAGCCAGCAGAAGTCCTTGAGGCCGCTCTGTACAAACAGTCTCTTGTTGAGGCTGCGGCTCCCTGGGCGTCCCAGCCGTAAAAGCTGCTTGCACACCCCTCCTGTGGTTGCGCCTCCGCCCCCCGGGCCCCCCCAGCCGTAACAGCTGCTCTCTTCTGTGCTGCAGCCAAATGCCTCGGCCCCGGGGCAGCCGCCCTCCCCCAGCCCCTTCTGTTGCGCTCTCACCAACATGGTCGTGAGAATTTAGTGCTAGTGGAAATTTAAATCATAATGGTCTAATAGCAGAATTATTGCTAGATCTAACTGTGACAGAAGAAGAAAATATTGCTACAGAAAAAGTTTCAACAGTAACACAGCTAACGCTTGATTTATGTATATTGAGTAATTGCTCTTTGTTACCCCGGAAATCAATTTTGCCCAACTCCCAAGTTTTCTTCATCCAGCAGTAAGTGGCCGCTGGAGTTGTGCGACGGCAGGGTTTACAGCCCTGGTGTCTCCAGGATGATCCTGCACCTCTCTCTCACCCGGTGCCCGTACTCTCCTGTAGCTGCACCTTCACACTGTGGCCGCAAATCCTTTGTGCTACACAGAGCAGCTTTTTACTACTCTGTATACAAAAGCCGTATCACACAATCATACAGCATAAAGCAAAACTAGAACGAATTAAGCAACGACCATCTCATCTTTAGAAACTGTTGTTACAGCTGCACAAGCTAAAACAGACAGAGCCTGACGAGGGTGGTAGTGTTGAACCATGTGAACGTGGCTCTGCCGCGGGAGGATGCTGGTGGCTGTCAACGGGTGGTTTCACACACAGAATTGGGACGTTCTGTGGGGAGGAGTCGGCATCATCCCTGTCCATGGGAAGTGCTGTGCTGTGACTGCTGATGCGGGGTCCTGCAGCACCCACCTGGCGCGGGGCAGCCCCCGGGAGAGCGGGGCTGAAGCTGGCTTGGCTGCGGCTCAGGCTCCCTGCGTGTGCCTGAATCAGGACAGGCATGGTCCTGCAGTGGCTGCCTGGATCTCAGCCCCCTCCTCGCAGGCACCGGTAGCCGTGGCTTACCAGGACACCACCGCTAACCAGCCCGCCGGTTTCTTTTGGTCTTTCAGAGTCTCCTTCCACACCCTCCTAGTGAACGCCCAAGATGCAGGCAGACTCCCTTCTTCACAGCGGCTACTTCCACCCTGTGCTACGCTCCTGGCAGTGTACGGCAACCACCTTTGATGCCTCCAACCTCATCTACCCCATTTTTGTCACGTGAGTGAGCCCTGGCTCTCTGGGTTAGGGACGGACCAAGCTCATGTTGACTGGCTTAGGTGCTCCCTGAGCTCTTAGATAGGTTCAGACTCCCCAGAAGATTCCCTGTGGACAAGCGTTGGGTAGGGGCTTCCTTCTCGTGCCAAGTCCTCACATCTCTGTCCCATCCACCTCCTGCAGTGACAGCCCTGATGCAGTGGAGCTGATCCCCAGCCTCCCTGGACAAGCCAGGTAAGAACCCAAGCCCCTGCCGGTCGCTGCCGTGCCCCGTGCCTGAGCAGGGTTGATGATGGTCTGAGATGAGCATGGGCCAGGGGTGATGCTTCTAACCTTCTGCGGTCCCTGCCTTGGGGATCCCCTGGCATCAGGCAGGGTGGGAGCATTCATCCACCATGGAAGTGGAGGGAATCATACTGGGGATGCTGGGAAAGTACCAGTACTGGCTGGGATAGTGCCAGGGTCTCACGATGTCCCAGAGCACTCGCACGTTGTTTGGGCTGGGCACGCAGGGAAGTTGGGAGCGAACGGGCTTTCCAGCAGCAGCTAGAAAACCTGTGCAAGGACACGGGCTCCAGTCCTGCCTTAGATCTTGCGGGACTGGCAGCTCCCATCTTCATCTGCTGCTACGTTAGCAGGGCTGTGGTCAGAGAGGCCCCAGGGGGATGGTCCTGTGGGGAGGTGGGCTGGATCTGCAACAGACATAAGGGATCCAAGGGCAGGGCATGCTCCTCCTTTCAGAGCAAAGAGTGTCCATGCCAGGTAGATAACACTCCTGTAGCCCCAGATAAGGTCCTCGATTGTTCCTCCCAACATTCAGGCGACACCTCCTCTGTGCCTCCAGCTGCTGCTTGGCGTGGATGCTTGTGGATGCTTGTGGATGCTTGTGGATGCTGGCTCGCTTGCAGACCAGCATCCAAGTCACAGACCTGCTCGCCCCACAGAGCAGGTCTGGGTGCCTGGCAGCCCCCTTCGCTTTGCTCTTCTCAGGTACGGAGTCAACAAGCTGGAGGGGATGCTGCATCCCCTCGTCGAAGATGGTCTGAAGTGTGTGCTCATCTTCGGGGTGCCCAGCAAGGTCCACAAGGTCAGTGTGCGAGGTGGTGGCAGGGGGCTTGGGGTAGCCACAAGGGTGTGGGAGAGCAGTGTGGGGCTGGGGGGGGGTCTCCTGATCAAACAGGAGCAGTTCAGGGTCTCTGGGCGTGCTTGCACCCCGCTCAGCAGAGCAGGACGGGGATGGGAGACTGCAGAGACATCCAAAATGCTCCTGGTGGCTCTGGGTGTCCTCTGTCCCTTTGAACAAGCGATGCGTCACTACAGGGCAGAGGAGAACAGGGAGCTCTGTGCTGCAGAAAGCAGGGTGGATGACTTGAGAAAAGCTTCTCCCGTACGGCTTGCCCTGACCCAGCCTTGTGCCGGGAGCTGTTGCAGGTGGCCCCAAGACCTGCACTCCCTGCTCAGAGGCACTACTCTGTCACCTCTTCCATCGTTGGTGGTCACACCGCCCTGCGTTACACGGTCTCGCGGTTCAGAAAACCTTTCTTGGGCAGAACTGCTGCCATGGAGGAGCGGGTGGGACGCGCTCAGCTCTGCGTGCTGAAGCATTTCTCTTCTCGCAGGATGAGAGAGGCTCTGCAGCTGATGCAGAGGACACACCTGCCATCCAGGCGATCAAGAAGATCCGCTCCACCTTCCCAGAGCTGCTCATAGCCTGTGACGTCTGCTTGTGCCCTTACACCTCCCACGGGCACTGCGGTGAGCGCACAGCCTGGGTTCCTGGGCTGCTCTTCAGGCACCTTCCCAGGACTGCGAGTCTCTGGGGATTTGCTGTTCTCTGCTGAGGAGCGCTGGGTGCTGGTGGGGCCTGGCCAGCTCCTGCCCCAAGACTTGGCTCCCCCGTGCTGGTGCAGCTGAGCCTGAGAGACCTCTCCTAGGTTTTGAGAGCAGGGTGGGAGGCACGGGTGGTTAAGGCACCCACTCCCTGGCCATCTGAATCTGTCTGAGCGCCCGCCTGTGTACCCCATCTCTGTCTTCCCTTCCCTGGAGCACCCCCATGTTGTGTCCAGTCCCTGGAGGGCTGCGTCGTTAGTCTCCTCGTCCAGCTCCCTTAACATGTTCATCGCTGTTCCTCTGAGCATGTGTGTAGCGAGAGCCACACTCCCACCTTAGGGATTGAGGCAATCGGCCATCCAGCCCCTCACCTAACCCCAGGTTTGTCCCCTAGGCATCCTGCGTGAAGATGGCACCATCCAGAACGAGATCAGCTGCCAGCGGCTGGCAGAAGTGGCGCTGGCCTATGCCAAAGCGGGTGAGGAGTCTCCTGGCAGCAGTACCCGAGTTTGATTCTCGCAGATTCACCCCCTCTCGCTTTCAGCAGGCCCAAAAGCAAACTGAGCTGGGCGCCAACTGTGTGTGCTTTTGCTCTGAGCCGGGGGAGGCTCCCCCTGCCCTCCACACGCTGGCCCCGGCAGAGCTGCAGGCAGCTGGGGCCCCTCTGGCCCTGGGGTCGCCTCCTCCTGCAGGCAGTTGCAGCCTCGGGCACTTCTCAGCATCTCTGCTCTTTCACTGCAGGCTGCCACATCGTTGCCCCCTCCGATATGATGGATGGGCGTGTCGCAGCCATAAAGGCAGCGCTGATCTCCAATGACTTGGGCAACAAGGTGAGCTCGGGATCTGCGTGTGCCAAAGGCAGGAGCGACGCCCACAGGGACGCTGCACCACAACAGGTCCTGGGCAAGCGGTGGGAGAAGTGAACCCCCACCTTTTCCAGGACACGCTGCAGGCGTTTCCCTGCCCAGTGCCCAAAGGAAGGGAATGTCCTTGGCCGGACATGGGGACAGTGAGGTGGGAGGCCTCTGGCAGGGGAAGGAGGATGTGGGGCAGAGTATAAAACAGCCATGGGAGGGAATCGCTGCTGCCCCACCACGGGGATGCAGCACCAAGCTTCTGGCCCTCATGGCTCCGCTCTCCTCTGCAGGTCTCGGTCATGAGCTACAGTGCCAAGTTTGCTTCGTGCTTCTACGGTCCCTTCAGGTGGGTCTGTCCCTCAGCTGGCAGTGTCCCCAGCCAGTGCTGGGCTGGCCGGGAGGTGCGTCCTCAGATAGTTATTTGGGAACGAGGCTCGGCTGGAGCCTGGGCCACAGCTTGGGCCATGCTGGTCGCTTTGGAGCGCTCTCTTCCTACTTCCCAGTGCAAGAGGGAGACAGACATACCTTGCCCAGGAGAGGCTGGCTGGTGGGAAGACAACTTTGGGTGATCTTCCATCCCACCCCTTCACCTACTCATCCTGGGTGCTGGTGGCAAGGCAGGCAGGGAGGGAGCTGCCTGCAGCTGCCAGGAGCAGTGAGGAGGGGAGTCACAGGGGCCGGTGTTTCCCCAAAGGGTGGCTTCAGGGACAAGCCTCAGCTCAGTCAGCTATTAGACCTAGTCCCAAGAATGGCCTGACCCTGACGGGGCGTCCCTGAGGAACCTGCCTGGGAAAAGAGCAAAAGGAAAATGTCCGACACGATTTTACCCCAGACTCTGGGCATGGGGAGGGTAGTGGGTGTTGACACATGGCTCCCAGGGCCAACCTGGGCCTGTCGGACCTCCCAGAGCGATCCTGGGGCACTGAGGTGGGTCAGGAGAGCCCCTCCTTTTCCTGGTCCTGATGGCTCAGGCACTTGTCCTAGTCTGTCCTCACATTTCTGAAGCTGTACGAGGCAAGAGGCATGAGGAGCCGCGCATGTCCTCATCCCCTGCCCTCTGCCTTGCCTGTCACCAGGGACGCTGCGCTATCCAAACCTGCCTTCGGAGACAGGCGATGCTACCAGCTGCCCCCAGGTGCCAGGGGCCTGGCGATGCGCGCCGTGGTGAGTGAGCCGGGTTCGGGCTGCCCGGGGCAGCAGCAAGGGTCATGGGTTTGGGGAGAACAAGCCCAGGGGTGTTGGAGGCAGAAGGCGGTAGGAGACACGCCAGCAGAAATGGCCAAGGCTCTTCCTTCTCAAGTGAGAGAAACGTGATGCCCTTCAGCCTGCCGCAGAGCCGGTCCCCAGCGTGGGCCTGAGGACCGTGCGCTGGGAGCCACCGAGTTGGTGACCCCGTACCCCGCTGTGGCTCGGGGCATTGGGGCCAGGGACATGCAGCCACCAGCCTTCCCCAGGCACCGTGCGTCTGGGGAGGGGAGTGTCAGCTCTCCCCCATCACCGCCCGTCTGCGGGCTCCAGTGGCCATTAGGGGCTCACCAGACCCTTCTGTGATCCCGCGTGGGAAAAACAACCAGCAAGTCAAAAACTTCTGGGGAAAACCAACCATGGACTTGCTGGAAAACGTTATTCTACCCTGAGCTGCCGGGGTCGCGCGCGTGTTCCCCTCACAGGACCGGGACGTGCGTGAGGGAGCGGACATGCTGATGGTGAAGCCGGGGATGCCCTACCTGGACCTCGTGAGGGACGTCAAGGCTCGAGTAAGCCCTTTCTGCACGGCGGTGCGGGCACAGGGTGGCCCTGGAGGAGGAGGGGAGGGTGTTTGGGGCGGCCAGCTCGGATACCCAGAGCGGAGGGGATGTGACTGCTGGTTTCACGGGTTGAGTGGGTGCTGGAGCCGCCCCGGGAGCACTGGGGTGTGCGGGGAGGGGGTGCCGGGCAGGGGGAGGGCTGTCCCCCGGCTGAGCTCCCTCCCCGCCGCTCCCCGCAGCACCCCACGCACCCGCTGGCCGTGTACCACGTCTCGGGGGAGTTCGCCATGCTGTGGCACGGAGCCCAGGCCGGGGCCTTCAGCCTGGAGGCTGCCGTCAGGGAGGCGCTGACGGCCTTCAGGCGCGCAGGTGAGGCGGGCGGCCCCGAGGCCTGCTCTCCCCGACCCCCGACCCCGTCCCCGTACGTCCCCCCCGGCCCGGGGCGGCTCCATCGTCTCGTCTCT